CTACAGTCCTTATTCTTTGATAGCTCCCAAGTCAATGGTTTTGAAATGGTTAAAGGAGTCCCTAAAATTCTATGGTTGGGGAGTGGGAGTGAAGGGAAAATGTTGAATGGTATTTCACGGAAACTATTATGGTGTTTTCAGCTTGTACCCCAAATTTCGCACCGGGCACTACTCCCCAGGGAGCAGAATATAATCCTTCCCCTTACAATCATGGGACAGATTGCAGAACAGAAAAATCTCAAAAGCAAGTTATTTTGGTAGTAAGTACTGATTGACAGACATGTTATGTAGCACATAGTGGGAGAGAAGCAAGGCCACTTGAGTGGTTTATTTCATAATCGCTCTTTAACTGAACGAGAGCAAAGGCAGATCCTAAGAATAAAGACCCTAATATGAGAATCCAGCATTTCAGTACTCACTATCATGATACACTCAGAAAAACAGCAGCAAGATGAGGAGGCTACAGTAACATGTGAAATCGGGACTTAGCCACAGTGGAGAAGTTTCTTTTTCAAACCATACTTTGTTTAATTTTTTTTTTAATCAATTCCTTTTGAGGGATCATTTGTCTATATCTGAACTTCTGGGTTTTTGTTGTTGTTGTTTTTTGTTTTTTTGTTTTGTTTTGTGTTTTGGAGACTGAGTCTCACTCAGTCACCCACACTAGAGTGCAGTGGTGTGATCTCGGCTCACTGCAACCTCCACCTCCTGAGTTCAAATGATTCTCCTGCCTCAGCCTCCAAAGTAGCTGGGATTGCAAGCACCTGCCACCACACCCAGCTGATCTGTGTATTTTTTAGTACAGCTGAGATTTCACCATGTTGGTTAGGCTGGTCTCGAACTCCTGACCTCAAGTGATCCACCTGCCTTGGCCTCCCAAAGTGCTGGGATTACAGGCGTGGCCACTGTGCCTGGCCAGTATCTGAACTTCTTGTCCATAATTATGCTTAATTTAACTTTATGGTAAAATGTGTACTTCTTATTCAATAGTATGAATTCAGACATTCTCTTTTCATTCATTCAATAAAGAAAGTTTGAACACCTATTCTGTGTTAAGCCTCTTCTAGGTTCTGGAAAAGTACCAGTGAACAAAACATAATCTCTGCCCTCCTGGATCTTACATTCTGGTAAAGGGAGAAACAGCAGGTACATCAGATGGTCATACTGTTAGGGAGAAAAATAAAATGACGCAAGAGCCACAGAGAGTGGGGCTGAGACAGGGGTTGTGATTTTATGTTGGGAAATCAAAGGACATTTGAGCAAAGTCCAGAACCAAGTGAAGAAGCCAGTACTTCCCGGATGGATATCTAGGGAAATAGCTTTTGCAGGTATAGGCACTAGCAGGTGCAAAGACTTCAGGTGGAGGCATGTTTAACACAGTGAGTGAGGTGGAGAGGAGTTGGGATGGGGATCAGAGAGACAACAGAACATGTAGGGCCTTGCTGGCCACGGTGAGGCCTTTGGATTTTACTCTGAGTGAGATGGAAGCCAATGGAAGATTTTGAACTGGGGAGTAATATGATCTGACTTGGGTTTTAAGTTTTAAAAGGGTGGCTTTGGTTGTTGTGTTGAAATTAGATTGCAAGGGAGCAAGAACAGAAGAAGAGAGACCAGTTGGGAGGCTATTGTTGGCCGGGTGTGGTGGCTCATGCCTGTAATCCCAGCACTTTGGAAGGCCAAAGCAGGAGGATTACTTGAGGTCGGGAGTTTGAGACCATCCTGACCAACATGGGGAAACCCCGTCTCTACTAAAAATACAAAACTAGCCGGGCATGGTGGCACATGCCTGTAATCCCAACTACTCGGGAAGCTGAGGCAGGAGAATCACTTGAACCCAGGAGGTGGGGGTTGTGGTGAGTGGAGATCACGCCACTGCACTCCAGCCTGGGCAACAAGAGCAAAATTCTGTCTGGAAAAAAAAAAAAAAAAGGAGGCTACTGTCATAGTCCAGACCAGAGACCAGAGATGGTTGTGGCTTAGAACAGGATGATGTAAGTGGTGGGAAGTGGTTGGATTTTGAATATACAGGGTGATTGTAAAGTCTAGAAACATAGATAACGTTATTGTATCTTGTATTAGAATATAGCATCAATAAATCATTTATTATCTAGACTGGGTAGCCACCTTGTATTTCAAAGGTAAGCTCGTGGATATCATGAGAGCTGTGAGAGACAAAGAGAGGAGTTAAGGTGACTCCCAGGTTCATGGCCTGAGACCCGTGAAGCAAGGATGTGTCATTTAATGACAGGAGAGACCATGGGAGAGCAGGTTTGGAAGGCAAGACCAGGAGTTTGATTTTGGACTTACTGAACTGAGATGCCCATGAGACATTCCAGTGCAGAGGTCAAGGTAGTTAGATACATGAGTTTGGAGGTCAGGAGAGGCTGAAGAGAAAACCTTGAGAGTTGTCAGAATCGAAAGGTATTTACCGCTTTGCAACTGGATAACACTACCTGTGGAGTAACTATAGATAGAGAAGACAAGAGGTTAGAGAATGGGCTCCTTCAAAGTTGAGAGGTCATAGAATTGAGAAGGGATGAGACAAGGAGATGAGAAGGAGAAATGGTGTCCTGGAAGCCAGGTGAAGCAAACTGTGTTCACTTTTGTAGAACCCCAAGTTCAAAAAATTAAAGGAAAAAACCAACCAAGCTACCTTAGAGCAATATTTGTATTTAGTGGATGTTATAGTATTGCAACTAAATTGTGCCCCCAAATGGAGGAAAGCAGATAAGAAGGACCCCTTACATAATGTCACTTGAACAGGGTTAATTCCACTAAGTTGGTAACACTTGACACTTTTGCCAAGCCTAACCAACTCCCCCACTGTTTACTGGGACTTCAGTCTTTAACCTTACCCTGTCTCCTACTTCCCATCTGCCTCTTCAATCACCTTCTATATGCTGACTACTCTTAAGTCTGTGAACCTAGGCCCAAACCCTCTTCTTTCAGTGATCTCTATTCAACTGTCCCCTGAACATCTTCACCTGTTGCTCCCAAGGCTCCTCAGATTCAAACTGTACAAAGCAGAATTCCCCATCTTTCCTGCCAACTGGCCCCTCAGATCATGTTCATCTTGGTGAACAGCAACCGTCATTTACATGGTCACTCCAAAAAGAAACTTAGTCCCCGTAGACTCCTCCTTTTCCCTCATTGCCACATATATTTGGAGCCCAGTCCCATAACTTCTACACTTTAACATTATATTTAAAACTATATGTGTAAGAGGAGAGGGAGCAGAGTGGAGATTCACACTGTGCCCATGACTTCTGCCTTAGTTATGGCCTTCATCACTTATTGCCTGAACTATCAGAACATTCTGTTCTTCTTCCAGTTCCTCTGCTTCCAATCTATTTTTTTGAGCACGTACACAGATTTATTTTAAAAGGAGAAAATGAATGAATTTAAAAACAAAAAAATTGGAATCTCTGACGTTCTACAAATATAACAAGTAGACTTGTGTCTGAATTGCCGATAGAGCTTAAAATCAAGGACCAAAGATTGGTCCTTAGAGTAGGGGAAAGAGCTAGACAGGAGATTTGGGTTCAAGTTTCAGTTAAACTGCTTCTAGTTAAATATCTCTGGGCAATTATTGTAATCTGTTTGTTTTTCCAAACTCAGTATAAGCTCACCTCCTCCAGGAAGCCTTCCCTGACTATGCAGATTTAGACAAGTCCCCCTTTCACTCCCATAACATTGTCTGCCTTTATTATGGCAACTACTTACAATTGCCGATTTATTCCTGCTGCCTCTGTTAGAGTATTAAACTAAATTCCTTTTAGTGTCACAGTTCAGCGTAGTGCTTGGCACATAGCAGATGCTCAATAATGTAGAATGTATGCATATTCCACAAACTCAGCTTTCTCACCTGTACAATGGGATAATAATGCCTACTTCTCAGCATTCCTTTGAGATTTACATAAGCTATGCATATTAAGAAAAACTTCATAAAGTATAGCTCAATGTATAAAATACTCGTAGTTTGTCCCCCACTATTTTATAAAGTCCAAATACCTCAACATAGCATTCAAGGCCCTGAACAATGTTTTCCAGGTCACCTTTTCGATTTCCCTCTGGCTCCCACCCCATTACTCTATATTATAGCCAGCCAAATAATATCCCAAACTCACCAACTTCTTTCATACCTCCTATCATTTTATATCGGATTCACCTATCTACATGTCAGTATCAATAATATGGGCTACTATTATTATAATTATGATTGAAATAGTAGGAGATAGAAACAAATGTTGCTTTTGTCTACTAAGCATTTTGTTATCCTCTGTCTTTTCCCCTTATCCTAGTCAATATTCCATTCAAACATACGGGTTCAATTACATTTTTCAATGCCTACCGGATAAAATTACCTTGTAGTATGGATAAGGTTCTTCATGATCCGACTTCCTTCTGTTATTTAACCTTCCTCTACTGCTCCACTAATAGCCTTTGTGACAGCTGTAGTAACTACAGTATATGTAGTTTTCCCAAGATAATAGGCTGGCTCAGCTTTCATGCCTTTACACATGATGTGTCCTTTGCCTCTTACGTCCTCCTCTACTTTGTCTATCCAGTGAACTCCCTGTCATCCTTTAAGATTCAATTCAGATGTAAACTCTTCTGTGAAACTTGCCCTTAAATACTCAGTGGCAGAATTAGATGCTCTCTTCTCTCTTATTATGCCATACATATCTTGTCACCATCTTCTGTGACGGTGCCTGTCACCTCCACTAGCCTGTAAACGTATCCAGCAGAGGGCTGCTTTTTATCTCCTAGTCCTTACTGTCTGGCACAAAGCGGGTGCTCACGGAAAATTAGTTGAATACATCAACAACTATCCGTCAGTGGCACCTGAAGCCATGTCATTGGAGCTAACCCATCATTGCCCATCACACACTGCTCTTCATAGACTACTATTACATTCTCTGTCCTTTGAGGTGGCAATCACGTGCTGGTGGTATTTCTAGTCAGTTAAAATGACAGTATTAACACACTTGCAAACATTCATTTCTTGAAAGAAGGATTAGGGCAGTGTCATAGCCCGGCAGACTGTGAAACGAAGACATTTACCTTCATTCCCCTTGGTACCCTTCAGGTCCGGTTTTTGCGACCACCTTGCTTGAGGCCCTGAGAGGAACTGCACCAGGGCAGGAAGTGAGGAAGCGGAAGTGGGGACCGGCCTGGGCCCTGGGGCCTGATTGGAGTAGGGGGAATATCCTGGGGCGAGGAGGTTTGGCCCCTGGGCAGCGGCCGACTTTCCTCTCAGGTAACAGCCTCTGCTTGGGAGTGGTGATGGGACTCAAGGCGGGTCTGGAAACATCGGCTGCCATCCCACCTCCCGTTTCCTGCCGGCACTGTCGGAGTCCAGATTGGGGCGGGAGGGCGACGAGGCGGTTACCATCCGCAGGAGGCGAAATCCCTGTGGCGTGACGCCATCACGTCCCTCCCGCCTTCTAGGAGCTTCCCTGAGGTCCAGCCTTCCCCTCCGCAGTGCATTGCCGGTTCTCCGAGGGTAATTGCCGGTCTGATTCTCTGTGTGACCGAGCGCCCAACACCTGGCTCATCTGGTACACTGCCATCATCTGAAATGGGGGTTGGATGAATGAAGACGAGGATGCCGAGGAAAGGCCCTGCCCACAGAAAGTTGATTCTTGCTCAGCCTCCACCCGCCATTTTCAAAATTCTTTCCAAAGCATCTCGTTTCTTCCTCCCCCACGGCCCTGTCTGGCGATTATTCTTTGTGTTGTGGATGAGGGTACCGAGACTCAGGGAAGTTGTTAAGTCTTAGGAAATGGCAACGCAGGACCTCAGATCATGGCTTTGAATCCTAATTAAAGGAGAGAGATGAGGCATGTGAGCGTTCAGTGAAGAGTAGCTGTTTACTCCAGGGGGTGAGGTGTGTCTTGTGCACCTCATTCTCCATTTCCTAGAATGGAGCCTGCCACATGGTAAACTCTGGAAGATTATTAGTTGAATAAATTAATGAACACACACTTGGGGCTCAAAACGATTAGATTTTCTGCCTCTGACAGTATTCTTTTCATCAAAACAATAACACCTCCTAATGGCGTGGTAGTCTCTATAACCATTCTCCCGTAGCATTCTTGACCAAAGCTCATTTCCTTCCGAGTCAAACTCATGTCTATAGGCAGAACCTGTACGAACACAAGAGCTGTTCTTTCCTCATAGTTCCACCTTAAATGCATCTTTTCAGAGATGGCTCCGGGCACTCAGCCTCTTAGATGCTATTGTCATTATTGTCCCAAGTATTTGGATAAAGTCAGTTTAGCTCCTCTGTTCCTTATTATCAATCCTGAAATCAAAAAACTTTTGGAAACCAATTTTCCCTCCAACTCATTTGGTGGTAAAACTTGGCCTGAGGCCATTGTAGTCTTTTTTTTTTTTTTGAGACGGAGTCTTGCTCTGTCGCCCAGGCTGGAGTGCAGTGGCACAGTCTCGGCTCACTGCAAGCTCCGCCTCCCAGGTTCACGCCATTCTCCCGCCTCAGCCTCCCGAGTAGCTGGGACTACAGGCGCCCGCCACCACGCCCGGCTAATTTTTTGTATTTTTAGTAGAGACGGGGTTTCACCTTGTTAGCCAGGATGGTCTCGATCTCCTGACCTCGTGATCCACCTGCCTCGGCCTCCCAAAGTGCTGGGATTACAGGCGTGAGCCACCGTACCCGGCCCATTTGTAGTCTTTATTCCAAATATTTACATGTTTTTATTGCAGACATGTTAATGTGTTTAATTGTTCAGAGCAGCCCCACACCTTACTGTGGGTATCATGTAATATATGGTATAGATATGGCACTATTATTGAAAATTCCACCCCCCCACCGCACCCAAAAAAGAATTGCCACAACTCATCTGGCCTCAAAGGATTTGGATGAACGATCGTGGACTGATAGTTTAACGACACATGATAAATCATTTCCTGTTAGGATTCAGATGAAATGGAGAGAAGGAAACAGCATTGTGAAAGTGGGCAGATCTAAAAAGAACACTGAAAGACTTTTTCAATGTAATCATTTGTTTTGCTGGGAATTATTTAGGAGAGAAAGCTCCTTAACTGAATGGTAAGTTTTAGTGTGAGGTTCATGTTTTATGTTTCTCCACAAAGCCATACAAATGGTAGGTACTCAAGAAATATCTGTTGATGATTTGAAAATATTTGCTCAAAACTATAGAATTTTACTTGACAATTACAAGAGCTAGATTTTATTTTTTAAATGCCATGCTTTATAGGAGTTTGTGACCATCTGGGCAGCTAGTAAGACCCCGTGTCTAAAAAAATATTTTTTTAAGGCCAAGCACGGTGGCTCACGCCTATAATCCCAGCACTTTGGGAGGCTGGGGCGGGCGGATCACTTGAGGTCGGGAGTTCGAGACCACCCTGGACAATATGGTGAAACCCCGTCTCTACTAAAATTACAAAAAATTAGCTGGGCTTGGTGGCTCGTGGCTATAGTCCTAGCTACTTGGGAGGCTGAGGCAGGAGAATCGCTTGAACCTGGGAGGTGGAGGTTGCAATGAGCCAAGATCGTGCCACTTCACTCCAGCCTGGGTGACACAGCAAGACCCCATCTCAAAAAAAAAATTTTTTTTTTTTTTAAATTAGTTAGACTTGGTGGTATGCACCTGTAGTCCCAGCTACTTGGGAGGCTGAGGCAGGAGGACTGCTTGAACCCAGGAGTTTGCAAGCAGCCTGGGCTACATAGTGAGGCTTTACCTCAAAAAAAAAAAAAAAAAGTGATTGTAATTATAAAGCTATAGAATCAGTGCAGGTTTATCCCAAGGCATTGTGTCAATCAATCATTGTGTCATTTGCACAACACATGTTTCTTGAGTACCTACTGTTGCTAATTAGCTGTTAGGGATAGGATTACAGTGGTAAATAAGACAGTCAGGGTCCCTGCCCCAGGGAGCTTCTAGTTTGGTGGTGAAGAAAGGCACTGAGCAAATAACAAATAGGTCAGTACAGATTGTTATAAGTGTAATGAAGGAAATTAACCAGGTGCTGGGGAGACCTAAGTAGTTAGTAGTGTGGTCGGTGAAGACCTCTCAGATCTGTGACACGAAATACCTAACTTCTTCCCTCTATTTCTAAATATTATAGCGAATTGGGTAGCCAGACAACCAACAAATGTGGAAATTTACCCTCTTGGGCACTAATTTTGTCACATCACTATAGTGATAACAGTCTCGCAGTTATTTGATGGTATGTGTAAATAGCATTTTCATATAGTCAGATGTCTAAAAGACAATAAACCAACATATAATTTACAACTAACACCAATTAATTGAGCTCCTTGACTGTCTGAAAAGACAGCAGTAGTAGAATGGTGTCTTACATATTCTGTGTTCATATCACAAGGTAAAGTTCAAGTCATTGTACATTAGTAAGTGATATGAATTCACTTCTCTAGACTTTTTTCCTTGTGATTTTTCTAATGGTTGGGGTTGTATTTATTTCTGAAATGATGTCATGTAAATTCATTTTAAACTACTCTATTGGATTAGAAGGCTATTATTTTGATATTTTTCTGGGTTAGAAAATTCATTTAAGAAAACGGTTTTTAAAAGTTTAAAATACAGGTTAGAGAATGTAGAAAAACCTAAAAATTACGATTGTCCTTCCAAAATATAGATAGGTAGCTATCCAAAAAAGAAAAAAATTTAACATTTGTTGTTCAATTCCAGCAAGTTGTGATTCTAACAAGGCTTTACAAGAAAATAGACTCGTGAAGAAACAGATCAGTATTTGTTGCTCTAAGCCAATGTCATAGTGCATCTCTGCCTTGAGTGAGTTTGGTAGAGGGAAAAAAAGGACAATAGAAAAAGAAAACCCTCATGATTGAAAATTTTAATAGCTTACTGAAATAGTATAAATCAGGTTTTCACTGCAGGAAGGAGTCAAATAAAAATGATTGTGTTTGAAGTACAAAAAAGAGAAAATCAGAAAGTTGTAGAAATACAACTTCTCTTTTTCTTCCTAGGGTTAATGATAGTGTCTTTCTGAGAAATCTTTTTCTCTTTTTTTTTTGAGACAGAGTCTCGCTCTGTCGCCCAGGCTGGAGTGGAGTGGCACAGTCTCGGCTCACTGCAAGCTCCGCTTCCTGGATTCACACCATTCTCCTGCCTCAGCCTCCCGAGTAGCTGGGACTACAGGTGCCCGCCACCATGCCTGGCTAATTTTTTGTATTTTTAGTAGAGACAGGGTTTCACCGTGTTAGCCAGGATAGTCTAGATCTCCTGACCTCGTGATCCACCTGCCTCCGCCTCCTAAAGTGCTGGGATTACAGGCGTGAGCCATCGTGCCCGGCTGAGAAATCTTAATTAAACAGATATTTAATACATTTTCTTATTTATTTATTTATTTTTGAGACAGAGTCTCACTCTATCTCCCAGGTTATAGTGCAGTGGCGTAATCTTGGCTCACTGCAACCTCTGCCTCCCAGGTTCAAACGATTCTCATGCCTCAGCCTCCCAAGTAGCTGGGATTACAGGTGTGTGCCCACCAAGCCCAGCTAATTTTTTGTGTTTTTAGTAGAGATAGGGTTTCGCCATGTTGCCCAGGCTGGTGTTGAACTCCTGAGCTCAGGTGATCTGCCCGCAGCGGCCTCCCAAAGTGCTAGGATTATAGGCGTGAGCCACCACGCCCAACCACTTATACAGGTACATTGTCTGTCTTGCTTAGTTAACAGTGTGTTGTATTTTTACCAAAAAGAGGTTATCTTCTCTTATTGTTTTAAAAAAGAAGTGATAGTTTTAGGATGCTTCTAAAAATGTATGTCTTCCTTTAATACACATACAGAAATTAATCAAGCCTGAGCTAGTTATCTGAGAAGGTCAAGGAAGGGAAGCAAAACTAAAAGCAGTGAACACATTTGTTATGGATTTTAACATTTTTTTCTTTTGTATGTGTGCAGTTTCTCTAGTAAAATCTGATTATAGATCTTCTAGGTTTCGTTGGATCTGGATGTTCGTCAGGGCTCGAAATCAATTTGATACACCGTCTTGGCAGCTGGCAGTGGTGAATCACTAGGGAAATTGCAAACTAACTGACCCTCCTTAATACAAAATAATGAAAACGAGAAAGGGAATGGTTTCCTATAAACTGAACTGATCATTCACAAGCATTGTGTAGAGTTTGGGGGTTGCATATCCTTTGTAAGTTTCAGTATATGGGCCTCTCTGTGTGTCCTTGTTTTGAGACCTGATAGACACAGGCTGATCACTGCAGGATTTAGAGAAATCCTTGTATTATTTGAGTCTTACTATTGACACTGTTTAATCCTAAACTCATTCTTCTTTTTCCAAAGGTGAACAAATAAAGTAATTTAACCTTTCCCTCTAATTTACCAGGCTTATCTGGACTATAATAGTGGTTTTAGGGTACCATGAGTTAGCTGTGGAGTACACTGATGTGCAGCTGTTTGTCTTCATAGCTGATCCTCCTTTCTTTTAGGTTTAGCAGGCAAGCAGATTGCATTTAGATCTGATTCTCAGGACTTGTAGTTCTAAAAACAATACAGTCATAGGGTCAGTAGGTGATTCTAAGACTCAATTTTACCCCCATTTTAGTTACTCTCAGAACATAATATTTTTATACATGACAATATATCTTAAAAGATGCCTGAAATCCTAGCATTTCATGAGGCTAAAGTGGGAGGATCACTTGAGGCCAGGAACTTTTGACCAGCCTGTGCAACATATGGAGACCCCCATCTCTACAAAATATTTAAAAATTAGCCAGGCAGGCTGGGTGCAGTGGCTCACGGCTGTAATCCCAGCACTTTGGGAGGCTGAGGCGGAAGGATCATGAGGTCAGGAGTTCGAGACCAGCCTGACCAAGATGGTGAAACCCCATCTGTACTAAAAATACAAAAATTAGCCAGGTGTGGTGGCATGCACTTGTAATCTCAGCTGCTCAGGAGCCTGAGGCAGGAGAATTGCTTGAACCCAGGAGGCAGAGGTTGCAGTGAGCAAAGATCGCGTCACTGCACTCAGCCTGGGCAACAGAGGGAGACTCCGTCTCAAAATAAAAAAAAAAAAAAAATGGCAAGGCACACACCTTGGGAGGCTAAGGCCAGAGAATTGCATGAACCTAGGAGTTTGAGGCTGCAGTGAGCTATGACTGCACCACTGTACTTCGGCCTGGGAAACAGGGCAATACCCTGTCTCTGGAAAAAAAAAAAAAAGAAATGTCAGAGTGCAAGTTCTGTTTTTTAAAATGTTGACTTGTCTACTGTCCATGTAATGCTTTGTAGCCATTATATTTCTGGCCAAAGAGGTTGGATGATATTTTCTGCAGGAACTTCTATGACTAGAAAGACAACCTGTATTTCTTTAAATAATATAGGCCAATTTCTCATGAGGGATTTTCCCATACCTATCCTAGGAACAGTTATATGGTACCCTCGATTCTGGCTGTTGTAAGTGAGGGGCTGATGTGGAAACAAAACCTAGATTTGCAGACTGATTTAGTCTTCTATAGACTTAAAAAAAAGTTTAATTTTAATTTTTTTGTGCTTTCCTTGCAGGAAATTGATACTTTATCAACGTAGAGATTAATTATTTGTATTTGGGAGCAGCAGAACTGGGGACCAATTACCTGTCAAGAGTTTTATAAACCAGTGACATAAACTGTTATTCGATTGCTTTCATCCCCCATCTCACCTTGGAACTTGTATTACTTATGGCGTTCAGGAGACAAGTGAAAAACTTTGTGAAAAATTACTCAGATGCTGAAATAAAAGTCAGGGAAGCAACTTCTAATGACCCTTGGGGTCCCTCTAGTTCTCTGATGCTAGATATCAGTGACTTGACTTTCAACACAATTTCTCTCTCAGAGATTATGAATATGCTATGGCACAGACTCAATGACCATGGGAAGAACTGGCGCCACGTGTATAAATCCCTTACGCTAATGGATTATCTCATCAAGAATGGATCAAAGAAAGTTGTTCAGCATTGCAGAGAGGGGTTCTGTAACCTTCAAACACTAAAAGATTTTCAGCACATAGATGAAGCTGGAAAAGACCAAGGTAATGGTTAAAGAAGTTTATATAAGCTGGTGCTTGGGAGGCTGAGGTGGGAGGATCGCATGAGCCCAGGCGTTTGATGCTGTAATGAGGAAAGATTGCACCTGTGAATAGCCACTGTACTCTAGCCTGGGCAACATAGCGAGACCCCGATCTCTAAAGTTTAAAACAAAAGTTTATAGCATGTGCCAATAAAGATTAGGAGGTTTGGGGGATCATTTTATATCAGGAGGTGGGGAAGAGTTGTACTTAAATGTACTAGCTATCTTTCCTCTGGGACAGTTATAGTTTCCAATTTAATCCTCTGTATTGAGTCTTCAGTGCCTTAGAGAACAATACTTTTTTCAAAAGGAAAAAAAAAGCGAACACACTTAGGTTTCTGATAAAATGATACCTCATAGAAAATGAATAAAGTGAATAAAACAGGAGGCATGGCAATTTGGTGTAATAATGTCACTGTAATTCATAATTATAATTAAACTGGAATTTAGTCATAAATTAAGGAAATATTTCCACAGGTTGGAATCTTCAAAGACTATCTAGATGGAAGCAGTTAAATGAATACAAAAATTTAGATCATAAAATAATTCTTTCGGGGGCGGAAGAGGAGGTGCAGTAGGGAAAGGATAGGATCCTGAGATGATTCAGTAGTGCCTGATATTCTACAGTGGCAAAAGGCTCAGCACTTCCTCTCCTGCTACCGTAAAATTATAATTTGTGTTTAAAGTGAATAGTCTTATGAATCACGAGAAGAGGATAAAATTCAGAGCATTCTCTCTGGGGAGCATGCATTTTAAAAATAGACCTTTTTTTAAGGGCAGTTTTAGGTTTACAGAAAAATTATGCAGAAAGTTACGCAGAGTTCCCACTTACCCTTCCCCACTCAGACACAATTTCTCCTAATAGCATCTTGCATTAGTGTGGTCCATTTGTTACAATTTATAAGCAAATGCTGATACATTATTGTTAATGAAAGTTCATATCTTACATTAGGATTTACTCTTTGTGTTCTACAGTTCTATGGGTTTTGAAAAATGCATGGTGTCATGTGTCCTCCATTCCACTATCATACAGAGTACATATGTCCTGTGCTCCACCTTTTCATCCTTTTCCTCTCCCCTTGAATCCCTGGCAACCACTGGTCTTTTTATCATCTCTGTAGTTTTGCCTTTTCAGATGTCATAGAGTTGGAATCTTAAAGTATGTAGCTTTTTCAGACTGGTTTCTTTCACTTGGCAATATGCATTTAAGATTCCTCCATGTCCTGAATGGCGTAAACCCGGGAGGCGGAGCTTGCAGTGAGCCGAGATCCGACCACTGCACTCCAGCCTGGGTGACAGAGCGAGACTCCGTCTCAAAAAAAAAAAAGATTCCTCCATGTCCTTTCATAGCTTGAGAGTTTTGTTTTTTCTTCTCTTTTTTTTTTTTTAAAAAAAATTTATTGAGATATAATTCACATGCCATACAATTCACCCATTTAAGGTGTACAGTTATGTGGATTTTGGTATATTACAGTATAATTTTTCAAAATTATAACTATAACATAAAATTTGCCTTTGTAAGTATACAATTCAGTTGCATTAATTACATTCACAATGTTGTGCAGCCATCACCACTCATGGTAAAACTCTTTCATCCCCCCAAACAGAAACCCCATAACCATTAAGCAATAGCTCCCCATTCCCATTCCACCAAGGCCCTATCTGTCTCTCTAAATTTTCCTGTTCTAGGTATCTCATGTAAGTGGAATCATACAGTATTTGTTCTTTTGTGTCTGACTTATTTCAGTTACTATAATGTCCTCAGGGTTGTCATGTTGTAGGATGTATCAGAACTTTATTCCTTTTATGTCTGAATAATATTCTATTGTATGTACATTATGCATTTTAAAAATTTACTCATCTGTTGATAGACTCTTGGGTTGTTTCTTTTAGCTATTGTGAATAGTGTTCCACTGAACATGGGAGTGTAAGTGTCAATTCAAGTTCTGGCTTTCAGTTTATTTGGGTGTATACTTAGGAGTGGAATTGTTTGATCATATAGTAATTCAGTGTTTAGCTTTTTGAGGAGCTGCTAAATTTTTCCATAGTGGCTGTATCCATTTTACATCTCCACTGGCAGTTTAAAAATGTCCCAGTTTTTCTGTATTCTTGCCAGCACTTGTTATTATCCTTTTTTGTTGTTGTTGATTATAGCTATCCTACTGGTTGTGAAGTGGTATCTCATTGTGGTTTTGATTTACATTTCCCTAAAGACTAATGATGTTGAACATCTTTTCATGTCGTTGTTGGCAATTTCTATGTCTTTTCTGGTGTAACGTCTATTCAAATCCTTTGCCGATTATTAACTTTTTAAGACAACTTTTTGAGTATTAAAAGTTCTTTATATATTCTGGATACAAGACCCTTATCAGAGAAGTGATATGCAAGTATCTTCTCTGATTCTGTAGATTCCTTTAATTTTGTTGGAGGTGTCTTTGATGCACAAAAATTTTAAAGTTTGAATTGCAATGTGTAATTTTTTCCCTTGGTTACTTGTGCTTTAGGGGTCATATATATAAGAAACTATGGGCTCCATTGTGTAATCCAGGATCATGAAGATTTATACCTATCTTTTCTAAGAGATTTATAGTTTTAGCTTGTACATTCAGGTCCTGAGTCCTTTTTGAATTAATTTGTGTATGTGCTGTGAAGTTTAACTTCATTCTTTTTCATGAAGATGCCCTGCTACCATTTATCGAAAAGACCATTTTTTCCCTATTGAGTTATATTGGCATCCTCGCAAAAATCAATCAACCAAATAAGATGTATGGGCTTATTTCTGTACTCCCAGTTGTTTCATTGATCTATATGTCAGGCCTTATGCCAGTACCATACTGTTTTGATTACAGTAGCTTTGTAGTAAGTTTTGAAATTAAGGAGTGTGAGTTCTCCAACATTGTTCTTTTATAAGCTTTTTTTTTTTTTTTTTCCTTCTATTCTGAGTCTCTTGCATTTTCATTTGAAGTTTAACACCAGCTTATGAATTTCTGTTAAAAAGATGGCTAGGGCCAGGTGTGGTGACTTACACCTATAATCCCAGCATTTTGGGAGGTAGAGGCAGTCAGATCACTTGAGGCCAGGAGGTCAAGACCAGCCTGGCCAACATGGAGAAACCCCATCTTTACTAAAAGTGCCAAAAATTAGCCAGGTATGGTGGCACACACTTGTAATCCCAGCTACCTGGAGGCTGAGGCATGAGAATTGCTTGAACCTAGGAGGTGAAGGTTGCAATGAGCCAAGATCACACCACTGCACTCCAGCCTGGGCAACAGAGTAAGACCCTGTCTCAGGGGGGGGAAAAAAAAATGGCTAGAATTTGGCTGGAATTTTGATGGGCTTACATTGAATCTGTAGATCAATTTGGGGTATATTGTCATTTTAACAATACTAATTTCTCCAATCTTTGTACACAGGATGTCTTTCTTTTTATTTAGATATTTTTTCACTTCTTTCAACAGTGCTGTGTAGGTTTTGGTATACAAGTCTTGCATTTCTTAAGTTTTTTTCATTTTAAAGATTATTTTCCAGTTAATTTCAGAAGTTCTTGCATTTCTGAAAGTTATTTCTAAGCATTTTAGTCTTTTTAAAACTCCAATAAATGGAATTTTTTTTTTTTTTTTTTTTTTTTTTTTTGAGGCAGAGTCTCGCTCTGTCGCCCAGGCTGGAGTGCGGTGGCACCATCTTGTCTTACTGCAAGCTCCACCTCCTGGGTTCACACCATTCTCCTGCCTCAGCCTCCGGAGTAGCTGGGACTCAGGCTGGAATTGTCTTCTTAATTTCATTTTCAGATTTTTCATGGCTGGTGTATAGAAATACACCTGATTAACTGATTTTTGTATGTTGATCTGTCTACTAGATCCCGTCATGTACAAATAGTTTCACTTCTTCCTCTCCAACCTAGATTCCTTGGCTAGAAAGAAGTGTTGAGAGCAGACATCCCGTCTTGTTCCTGCTCTTTGGAGGAAAGCTTCCTGTCATCAAGTATGTTAGCTATGGGTTTTTTCATAGATGTTCTTTATCAGGGTGAGGAAGTTCTCTTCTATTCCTAGTTGTTGAGTGTTTTTATCATGAAAGAAAGTTGTCTTTTTATGCATTTGTACCTTTTATATGTATAAGATAAGGTATACATGGATGTGTTTAAGTTGACTATCATAAAGATCTTTCAGATTCCCTAACAGTTGATCTTAGCACCAAAGCAAGTACAAGTACACTGTGCTAGACTTTATGAATATTCTTGATAATTTATTACCACCAAGAGAGCAAGAAAAATGCAAATTAGAACTGAAATGTCAACAGAAGCATAGTGCATTCATTTGTTGATTATAGAAGTTACATTAGCAATTGATAGATAACATTGTACACATTATTCACTAATACAAATTAATGAAAAAGATTCCATTAGGGGAAAATACTATCTTTTACGTATTTCTCTTTGTGTATTTTTTCTTTTTTTTTCTTTGAGATGGAGTCTCACTCTGTCACCCAGGCTGGAGTGCAGTGGTGCTATCTCGGCTCACTGCAACCTCTGCCCCCAGGTTCAAGTGATTCTCCTGCCTCAGCCTCCCAAGTAGCTGGGACTACAGGCACCTGCTACTGTGCCCTGCTAATTTTTGTATTTTTAGTAGAGACAGGGTTTCACCATCTTGGGCAGGCTGGTCTTGAACTCCTGACCTAGTGATTCACTCGCCTCAGCCTCCCAAAGTGCTGGGATTACAGGTGTGAGCCACCATGCCCAGCCCTCTTTGTGTGTTTTCTAATGAATGTGATATACTAGAAGAGTAGCTGTTGCCATAATCTCACTCGTACTTAAATAAATGTGCATTCATTGAGGATATATACTTGCATAACAATTTGTTACTGCTGGGGTATATAGTCAAAATAGTTTGCAAACCACTGGCTCTCAGGATAAAGTCAGGCCCCTTAACATGTTTCCAATCTACTTTTCTGCTCTTACTTCCCTAG